GGGGGTCAGACTAGATGATCATACTGGTCCCTTCTGACCTGAAAGTCTATGAGTCTATGAGTCTATCTTTTAGCAAAACATCCAACCTTGATTACTAATTCTCAGTGATGGAAAATCCACCATGACCCTTGGCAAATTGTTCCAATGGTTAATTACACATTGTAAAACATAATATCAACTATACATATAAAATGATGGGGTCTAAATTAGCTGTTATCACTCAAGAAAGAGATCTTGGAGTCATGGTGGATAGTTCTCTGAAATAATCTACTCAATGTGCAACCGTAGTCAAAAAAAAGCAAACAACGTTGGAAATCATTAAGAAAGGGATAGATAATTAGACAGAAAATATCATATTGCCTCTAGATAAATTGATGGTATGCCCACATCTTGAATACTGCATGCAGATGTGGTTGCCCCATCTCAAAAAGATATATTGGAATAGGAAAAGATACAGAAACTGGAAACAAAAATTATTAGGGGTACGAACAGCTTCCATAAGAGGAGAGATTAATAAAATTGGGACTTTTCAGCTTGGAAAAGAGATGACTAAGGGGGGATATGATAGAGCTCTATAAAATCATGACTGCTGTAGAGAAAGTAGATAAGGAAGTGTTATTTACTCCTTCTCATAACACTAGAACTAGGGAATCACCAAATGAAATTACTAGGCAGCAAGTTTAAAAAAAACAAAAGGAAGTATGTTTTCACACAATGCACTGTCAGCCTGTGGAACTCTGCCAGAGGATGGTGTGAAGGCCAAGATTATAACACGGTTCAAAAAAGAACTAGATAAATTCATGGAGGATAGGTCCATCAATGGCTATTAGGATGGGCAGAGATGGTGTCCCTAGCCTCTGTTTACCAGATGCTGGGAATGGGAGACGGGATGGATCACTTGACGATTACCTGTTCTGTTCATTCAATCTGGGGCACCTGGAATTGGCCACTGTCAGAAGACAGGATAATGGGCTAGATGGACCTTTGATCTGACCCATTATGGCCATTCTTATGTTCTCACACTGTTAAAATTTACTCCTTATTTACGGTCTGAATTTGTCTAGCTCCAACTTATAGCTATTGGATCCTGTTAGACTTTTCTCTGCTAGACTGAAGAGCCATTATTAAATATTTGTTCCCTCAGTAGATACTTATAGACTGTAATGAAGTGGCCATTTAATTTTCTCTTTGTTAAGCTAAATATATTGATCCGTTTGAGTCGATCAGTATTAGGCATGTTTTCTAATCATTCTTATGGCTCTTCTCTGAACCCTCTCCAAGTTAGCGACAACTTTCTTAAACTTTAGGCACCAGAACTGGAGACCGCATTCCAACAGCATTCGCACCAGTGCCAAACACAGAGGGACTAGAACCTCTTTACTCCTGCTTGAGATTCCTGTGACACACCAGGGTACAATCCAGGCTAATGAGCAGCCGTGTCACCCCGGCCATGCAGCCTTGGGTGCCCCACAAAGCCTTGCTGAAATAACTCCCACCTGGACGCCTCACAAACAACTCAAGAGGATGCAAGTCACACCCTGAGTGTCTGTGTGTAACTGCAGCCTGCCAGCCACACCTGGGTTACATCAGGCTCTCCCCAGCCTGGGTTATACAGAAGGGTGACCCCAACACACCCCAAGTCTTAGATTTCCCCCCAGAAATGTATGTCCTGTACTGCCCAGCCCTCTCCTGGACACTACAAATTATATTAATTCCATTGTTCCTTAAAGATTATGCTATGCACACACCTTGTCACCCCAAACAGTTATCAAACAGGCACTTCAATTCAAACACACTGGATTAGATAAAACAAGTCTATTAACTACAAAGAGAGAGATTTTAAGGGAGTCCAAGAAACGAGGTATAAAAGTCAGGAAGCGTTACAACGAAAATAAAAGATGAAATGTTTACTAGTGCCTAACTTAACACACTGTATCAGATTCAAGCAAAGTGTCTCACCACATGCTTTCAGCAGCCTTCCTGACCAGACTGTGCAGCTCAGGCCCCCTTCCTCTGTGTCCGGTAAATACTTCCTTTCTCTCTTCAGGTGTAGTGAATGCCATGGGCAGGGAGGGGTTTAAGCTGTTTGTCCCTCCTTTTTATTGTTTCAGGCCCATGCTTGAAAAACATTTCCAGCTGGGCACCAGGGAACACAGAGTCTATGTGGAAGGATCTTTCCTGCTGGCTTTTCCTCACCTGTTTGAGCTTCCTTTGCATGTATTTGTTTGTTGCTCACCAGAGTAGGAGGACAAGCAGCTCCAAGGATCTGTCATTTCCTAACAGAACATAGAAACACACAGAGAGGGGCTGGGGGTTTGGGTGGTCATTTTTGTTGTCCACTTAGACCACGTTTTAAGTAGGCTTGGGACAATGAAATTTTTAGCGGTAATGGTCAGCAACCATCACTTCCATCACACACGCATACAAACCAATGGCAAAATGTTTCCATCGATAACAATCCAAATGTTCAGCTAGCTAAAGAATGAACAATGCTCCTGGCGAGCTTACTCGAATCCCACCTTACTGTGGAGAAAACTTTTGGCCATGCAGGTGTCTTTGGGGCTGCTTTCAGGATAATTACTTTGTACATTTTGACATGTGATGTTGCCAATTTGTGGTTTTAACGGTTATAAATAGGCTTGGCAGAATACACAGACAGTATTGATGTTTATTTCTAACCATCTTTTTCAATTTTTATTGATTTAAATGTTCAGTTGTGGAAAATTCCTGTGGGGATCAAAACCTAATTCTGTAATGACAACAGATGTTGATTTTAAAAAGGTCAAGCTTTATAACTATTCAAACAAAAATTAACATCACATGTCAAAATATACAAAGTCAATTTCCTCAAATCCAACTCTAAGAAGTTCTCAAGTAGCATTATTCTTACTTTGCTTATCTACAAATTTCAATTATTAGCTATGGAAATATTTTGCGAGCAGTTGGGGTGCGCGGTGAATATAACATTATAAAGCTTTAACTTTTTTAATCTCAACCGCCATTAAATAATTGTCTGACCTCCACGTATGGCCCGACTTCCCCCCCACACGCACACAAATTTCCACAACTGGGATAATTTAAATTGGTAAAAAGAGAAAAAAAAGTTGCTTCAAACCAGGGCCACCCAGAGGGAGGGGGGAAAGTGGGGCAAGTTGGCACTAGGACGCATTTTGTTGGTGGGAGGAGGCCAGTGACCAATTTTTCTGCATCTTGGAGGTGGCAACATAATGGGCAATGGTGGTTCTGGAGCAGCCCAGACGGAGGCAAAGCCAGGGGCGTTGGCACATGGGGTGCTATTGTTTAGGGGCATCGGCAACAGGGGGGTTGCCAGCAGCGGCGCTCTGGGTCGGGCCAGGCCCCTCGCCCTCCACAGCATCCTCCATCATCTGCTTGTACTGGCGCTGGAAGAAGCCGAGCTGGAAGGAGACAGAGAGGGGAGACGGTGAGAGCCAAACAGAGGCAGGATCACAGTAGAGGAGCAGGAGGGATGGGCTGTGGTAACCTATGAAGGAAAAACCTTTGTACCTCTGCCACGATCTGGGAGAGCCACAGGCCCCGCCCCCAGGTGATGGGCTGTGGGGGAGGGGTCCAAGCCCTGCTCCACTCACCTTGCAGAGGGCTGCAGTGATGAGAGCCAGCAGAACCAGGCCCCCCATGCTGCTTCCCACGATGATGGGCAGGTAGTTATAGACCTCGTAGCGCTCCACCACCGTCTGCACCTGGGGGAGAGGAGCTGTGAGATGGGGACCCAGGAGTCCTAGCACCCAGCCACCCCCATTGTATCCACTCGGTCTCACTCCCCACCAGAGCCAGGGAGAGAACACAGGAGTCCTGACACCATCCACCCTCCCTCTTCTAACCCACTGGACCCCACTCTCTCTGCAGAGCAGGGACAGGACCCAGGTGTCCTGGCTCCCAGCTCTAACCACTAGCCGATGCTCTCTCTATCCCGGGCGCAGTCACTCTGGTACCTGGCGCTGGACGAATCCCTCCTTCTGGGTGTATTTCTTCTCCTCGTATTCAATCCGGCCCTCGCTCACCAGACTCACTTTCTGCTGCTGTGTCTGGAACAGAGAAATTCACCGTCCCTGACTGGAAATGACACAAACCAGCCCAGAGCATCGTCCCAGGGGGACCCAGAGCAATTTACAGGCCGTTCACACAGGGATCCCTTGCCCGGCACTGAGATGCAGCCACCTCTGGGGAGGGGCTCAGGGGCTGTTCACATGGGGGGGATCTTTCGCCTGGTGCTGGGAGGCAGAGGCAGCTCTCGTACCTGGGAGACCCACTGGAAGCTGACGTTCCCTTTGATCATGAACTCCAGCGGCTGCCGCATTTCCAGGGAGGTGATTCTGCACCGGATCTTCTTACAGGTGGCCACGGAGCAGTCCTGGGGGTGGAAGGATATCGCCGGGTGAGGCACGGGGTGTTCAGGGACCAGGGGTGAAAGTAAAATACAGCTCTTACCGGTACGAGGCCCACTCTGCCCCCCTGCCCTGAAAGGGGCGGGGCCTCAGGCAGAAGGGGTGGGGCCAGAGTGAAAGTAAGTTACATTTCTTACTGGCACAGTCCAAAGGCAAGCAACCCCCCTCTCCTACATACTTCATACCTCCCATTGCATGACTTCGATATAGAAAATAAAGCTACTACTACCAGTACTGTCTGTAATAAAACTTTAATACTGGAATAAGCCTGAAAAAGTGAAAACTCACTGTCACATTTTTCACCTTGTCCTCCCTCCTCCTCCAGCCAGGCTGCCGACGCGGCTAGGCCCCGCGTTCCCCCGCCCGCTCGCACTCAGCAGGGGCTGCAGCGGCTCCCCTCTAGCTTGCAGGAGGGTGCAGGGGACTGGCTGAGGGAGAAGTCTCCCCAGGACGCCTGCTACCTGCATAGGAACAGTTTAAATGTAGCTGTTCACTCCCGCGGGATTAGGGGCCATTTCTGGCATCCTTGTTAATTTCACTCACAGTTGTTAGGGGGGTGGGAGATGAGACCAAGGCAGGGGCAGAATACAATAGGCATTTAACTGCACAGCTTAAATCCAGAGCTAATAAAAGCCAGTGGAAGGGGAAAACTCACTGTCACATTGGTTTCTCTTCCTCCTCCTCCGGCTAGGCTCCAGGCTTCCCCTCCCCCTAACCTGGCACTCAGCAGGGGCTGCAGCAGCTCCCCTCTATCTTGCAGGAGGGAGCCGGGGGACTGGCTGAGGGAGAAGCTGCCCAGGATGCCTGCTGCCTGCATAGGAACAGTTTAACATCAGCTGTTTACTCCCTGGTTCAACCCCTGGGATTGGGGGCCGTTTCTGGCATCCTTGTTAATTTCACTGACAGTTGTTGGGGCTGGAGGAGGAGGGAGGAGAGAAACCGATGTGACAGCGACTTTTCCCCTTCCACTGGCTTTTATTAGCTCTGGATTTAAGCAGTGAAGCCAAATGCTTATTCTATTCTGCGCCTGCCTTGGTCTCACCTCCCACCCCCCAACAACTGTGAGTGAAATTAACAAGGGCGCCAGACATGGCCCCTAATCTGCGGTCTGAACCGCAGAGTGAACAGCTATGCAGGCAGCAGGCATCCTGGGCAGCTTCTCCCTCAGCCAGTCCCCCTGCGCCCTGCTGCAAGCTAGAGGGGAGCCGCTGCAGCCCCTGCTGAGTGCCAGGGGGCGGGGGAACGGCCTGGCTGGAGGAGGAGGGAGGAGAGAAACCAATGTGACAGTGAGTTTCCCTTTCCAAGCTTTTATTAGCTTTGAGTTTAAACTGTTTTTTTATGCAGCCAAAAGAGGTGAACGTAAGCCAGTACTGAATGCTCCACTTATTTGCCGGTACGCTGCTGCTGCACCTTTTTTTACCGGGTAGTGCTCCGTACCGGCCCGTACCGGCCCACTTTCACCTCTGACAGGGATTCCGCATGGCCATGAGGATCTCAGTCCCCACTCACGGTCTGTACTAGTGCGGAGGGAAGGGGCTGCTGGGACCCGCACTGACCTGTACTCACCAGCAGGGGGCGCTCGCTCATGTGCTTCACAAAGTCCTTTGAACCAGTCGTTCCCACCTCACTGCTGCACTGAGCCAGCTGGGGCTGGGGAGGGAGAGACACACGGTGTTAACGGGGGCAGGAAGGGGACATGGGGCATTTCCCCTCTATGGGATGCTGGCTACAATCTGGCCCCAGGACAGGGGACTTGCTGGCTGTGGGGGGAGGGGGGGCATGTGGCCTATCTCCCCTAGGCAGCCTGTCCCAGCAGGGGGCGCTGTAGGGCCCAGCAGGTGTCACTGGGCCCATCTCA